TCACCACCCTGTCGCCCGATTGTGTGCCTTGCCGAACTCTAATGGGCCTGCTATACTCTTATAGCAGGACCATTAGGGTTTTCCCTCTTAATGCCCACAGAGTGGAAAGAGTAAAAAAAATAATAATTTGTCGTCTTTATGTTTGTTAACTTTTATAAATCTTCTAATATAATACTTTAAAACTCTAAATTTATTCATTTATAACTTTTGCATTTCTTGTCAATCATCAGAAATACCTACTTTCAATTCATATACTTTGCACAAAGGAGAAGGGCCTCACAAAGATCTGTCGCCCGGAGCGTCGCAATGGTTAAGGCCGCAGCTGACTCAATGGATAAACTATTCCGTGTCAGAAATTTTTGCCCGTTTTGACAGGTGCCCGTCGAATGCAGGTGGTCGCCTAAGCAGTTTTCACTGTATATTAGTACTTATTGGTCAATCTAAAAACATTACATAAAACCTAATATCAATTATTTATGAACAAAAAACAGGTTAATGAAAAGGGCCCTAAACGACAACCGAAATGCTTATTAATATGCATTTCGGCTGTTAATAATGTAGAAGTATTATATGATAATCATTAAATAAATTGTTAATGATCTCAAACTTGTGTTATACCTTGCAATATTAAGTTACATGAATTAATAGCAATATATATAATAATTTGCAATCTTTATTCCGATTATTTGTACTTATAGTATTACTCTTTATGTATTTAGTTTATTATTACTTTTCTTTAATCTTATTATATTATAAAAATAATGATAATTTCGAACCGAGCAACTCACAGAAGAAAGGTCAAATTTGATTTTGCTATTGGTCAATCGAACACAAGATTCCTTCAATTTATATAAGTAATTTTAAAAAATGAAAATATTTTACTTACCCAAATATTTTCCCATATTTCTGATACCATTTTTGTTCTGATTTTCCTTGTGGCTAAATTAACAAGAGGAAATTTAATACTTTTAGTTTAGTCACGTATTCGTATTAATACTTGAAAATAAATTCTTACAGAAGTGAGATCAAACTTAAAAGATCCTGTAATAGGAATAGGAGGTACTTCAGGAATTCCTAAACGTTTCCAATAACCGAAGTTTCTCGTTGCATAACTGTATTAAAATTTATTTATTATTTAAAAAATTAATAATTAATTGTTTTTATAAAATTAATTCATAGTATTTTCAATATACAAGTAAAAAACTGTTCAATTTAAATAGTTTGTAACGTTTAAAGTTAGAGGAATATTATATATGAACTGGTTTAATCAACGAGATATAGGCTATATAGTGTATGACTATATGTATATATTTTTTCCATTATTACACAATATTTCTTAAAGTATAGTATCGATAAAAATCTAACAAACTAACAGATATTTACGTATGCAAATGCACCGTTTGTTGATTGACAACAAACGTTAAAATTGTTGAAATTGTCCAAGAAATTAACTCTTTGGGTACACAGCAATTTTTAATATTAATGTAATTAAACATAAAAAAATATTTAAAACTGAAAAAAAACGAAAGAAATGTGTTAATTTTGAAAAAAAAGTTTCAAACTTTATTTTCCATTGTCTCGCCTTTCTGCGAAGTTTGATGGGTCATTGTGTTTACAGCTGGATGACCTTGAGAACAGCTGGTGTTGGATTTCCCGGGNCACAATGCCGGGATGCAATTTTTAATCATATATTTTTAATTTATTTAATTTAAAATATACGCTATCCACCTCAAATTAATAGTGTCTTGTCTTTTTATATCATACTTTTCTTGTTAGCAATAGAGTCGAGCAGGTCATTTATCTAATTCCTTTTAAGGGAAAAATTTTGAATTGAAATAATGTGACTTCCTGTTTGCATAGAAAATTCTTATATAGTTAAATCGGGACTTCCTGCCTTTAATTTTTCCATATCTAGTGTCGGCTTTCATCTATCTTACTCCGTTTTCGAGATTAAGGAAGAGTAGACAGATGAAAGCTGGGGTCTGAGGGAATCCAAGACACAAGTTAAATTTTAGTCATTATTGCGAGAACCGTTAGTGAAAACTTAGCTGTTTTTACATCAATTCATACTTCCATATGTTGGCTACTAAATGGATTATGACATTAAAAAATCTAAACTACCTTTCCTCAAATAAAGTATAAAACTATTCTGTGGTGCGGGGTAATAGCAGGCAGTACCGGTAACGTGCCTCACTAAAGAAATAACTACGTACAGTTTTCTGGATTTTCTTCACGTTCGTAATACCTAAATAGAGGATAGTTTCCTGCAGAGTTTTCTCGGAATGCATCCTTCTTAGACAGTAGAATGCCTTCCGAGAGGATTCTATGTGTTGAGTTACCGTATTCCATTAAAGTAAATATCAATACTTTGATTTCGTTTTTAGTTATTTAACACGATATTTTGGATATTGGAGTAAACTCGGAGTACCTGAAGTGCCTCCAATGATTTTCACGGGATCAATGCGTTTAGATTTTAGCACTGTAAGTTTTTCATTACAAATTTATTACAAAACTTCTTGCATCTTTATTGCTATTATTTACGAAAATGAATACTTATATTAGCCTCATGGTGTACGTGAGCAGAAATGGTACAAGAAATACGGAAAAATTTTTGGGTAAAGAAGTTTTATATTTGAGAGGATTCTGAAATTTTAAATTATTAAAAATATAATTTGTTTCATTTCAGAATTTACGAGGGATCAAATCCAGTTCTTATGATAGCTGATCCAAATTTAATGAAAGATATTTTAGTAAAAGATTTTCAATCTTTTATGGATTTAAGAGTATGAAATGCAAAAGAAAACATTATAGTTATATTTTATAGTATAATATACAAATAACAATTTTTAGTTTTATTATTTAGAATCTTAAATTTGGAGATCCAATTATTGACAGGATGCTCTTTGTACAAACCGGTAAAAAATGGAAAGACATGAGAAGTATTATGACTCCCGCTTTCACTATTAGTAAAATGAAGATGGTAAGTATTTAAACACACGTACTGCATCAATTAAATACGATATTAATGAGGTAGACTTATATCCTTTAGATGACAAAGTTAATTAATGAATGTGCCCAAATATTAATCGATAATTTCTTAGAAGCAGCTGGAAATAAAATAGAAGTTGATATTGATGAGTAAGTTCTGTTTAAACTATAATGTAATTTAATAGCTATGTAAGAAAATTTAAAAATTTGTTTTCGGTAGAAAATCGGCTTCAAAATAAATATAAACTGTTTTCTTTATTTAGGTTAGTAATATGTATAGCCTATAATATAACAAATATTAAATTACAGAAGTAAAATATTACNCGCATTAAAAAACAATTAAGCGTTAATCGTGCGTCATTAAAGGTAGATTAAAATCGCGATAAAAATTTTTCGAGCGGGAAAAAATTTTTGAAAAAATTTGGAGACTTAAAAAACATCCAAAATCCAAAAAAAATTCTTTTCAGAGGATCCAAATGCCCGAGTTTTATGTAACGCTATGGAACTTGCCCGAGTTGTCTCGGGATAAGGGCTTAAGGCGTTTTTAATTTCTTCAACAATTTGAAAGAACACATACAGTTATACTGTATAACATAACATATAAAGCGTATTATACAAAATAACCTTGTACAGTACATCAATTATAAATTCACGATGGTTATAGAAAGGCGATTGAACAATTTAATTTAAATATGACCATACTAAACTTATAAGTCCCGGCGCCTCTGGAGACTCGAATTATTTCATATTTAATTAGTATTTCGTAGCATTAACATATCCTTGAGAGAATTGTTTGAGAGAATAAAATTATGAACGGTAGGTGATGGAGAAGATAATGCTTTGTCATTCTTATTAAATGCTGACGATACAAAAATAAGTTTAAATACGATACGAAGAATATAATAACATTTAGTTATTTTATTCGTTTTGAAATAATTCAAGTTCTGTTACTGAAATACTGTAACTCTAGTTGTTTTAAGTGTATTAAATATTTTCGGATAAAGTATCTGAAAACGATTAAATTATGTTACTGAAACGTCTCAAAACATGGATTTTAGTACAATTTTTATAATCTAATATGTATTATAATAGTTTATTATCTTCATTTTTATTATCATCTGTGGCATGGGAGTATCCCTTATCATTTATATGTATCTCATCGATAAATATCCATATTTTATTATTTTTTCTAAATTTTTAAAATTGATTTAAGGTTGATTGTTCTCCCATAAGATAGCCTTAATATTTAATGCTTTTTAATAGAAAAATCCTTTTCCAAAACTTTTCGAAAACGGAAGCAGATAGAACCAAGCAGTTTTTGCGTTAAAATCTTATTAATTTTTTTTTATTTACGTAAGATTCATAATTTTGAAAATCAAATTTGTTAATTTTCTAACAATTTTTAATTAAAGTCGTAGAAACTTTGTAGAAAAGTAATAAATTCTATTTTTGAAAATTTGAACCGTACGTTAATATAGAATTAAATAAATTTCTAAGGTAAAACTGTTTAATTTTCTTATCTACTATTTTCGAGTTTTGAAAAAGGATAGAAAAAGGATGACATTTTTACCACCATATTCTGGAGATTACACGTATAATCGAATAACTTACAATCAGCCTAAGGACTAGAAAAAAAGTATTCAAAAAAAATTTCATAACGTCATTGAGAATGTTTATTTTCTTATTACGATAACAATCATTAACGCTATTTTGCTCTTTTCTAATATACGAGATAGACGGTTTAAAGGTTAAGACGATTAGGTAACAGCCTACCGCTGTGGGTAATCGGAAATCAGAAAATTTTTTGAATAGTTTGTTCGGATATGCTGGGCCCCTGTCTCACACTACCCGGCTTTCTCCATTGTCGGCCTGGCCCAACCCATATTAGGGTATGATTAGAAGACCTTCTTAGATCTCACAGAACAGTAAGAGTAAAACATGAAAAATTTGCAATAATATGGAATAATTTTTATTATAATTTTATAACTAAACTTACGCAAATTAAGCGAGACAAATAAAGATGAATTACGAAATATTTAAACTGTAAAACTAATCATATAAATGCTATATTATTTATTTTATTTTTTCGTTAAGTTTGTTTTATAATATATATTTAAACTGTATAAATAAATTTACTTACAGGTATAACGAAATGAAAATTCCCACAGGAATCAAAATATAATAAGGAATTCCGTACATATCCATTGCTTTTATGTGAATAATTCAATCGCGTCAATCTATTATATATGTTGTATATAATCTATCATTATCAATATGTTTCCGTTTTGTTTTTTTTTTTCGACTTCTTATCGTGATTTTGTACTTAGATAATTAAGAGAAAATTACAATAATTATACTGATATATAGCTACATTGGCCTTGATCTTTAAATATCTCATCGTCTTTTTTAACCGGTAATGTTGGGATTGGTATCTTAATTTTTATTTGTTGATTGTAAGTGTTTATTAAATTGAAAATTTACCAGTTTTATTTTCATACGTTCGAAGTGTTGTTCAGGTTCTTCGTAGGATCTATCTTTTCAGGAAGTAGATCGATCGTAGCGTTGGAAAACGTGGAATGGAAAGCGCAGCGATGGAAAAAATAGATTCGTCCCTTTTAATTTAAGAAGCATTATTGAATTATGAGCAATATGGCCAAGGAATAAAACGGGGACCCTAGGAGGCGCCCTTCCGGGTCCTATGCAGGGACTAATGTTTAGACACCTATGTAGGTGTTAGACTTGAAAGGAAAACCCGGAATACTATATGTGGCCGGTTCTTTGCTCCACCGGAAAATTTCCCGAAATTTCCGGCTCTTTTCTTTTTCCGTATTTTAATATACGTTATATTTCTCTTGGGAAAAGTAATAAATAAAACACAAGTGCTGTTTCTAATATTAAGTTAAAAACGAAAAACTTATTCTAATTCAAACCATAAGCTTTCATGATAATGTTCTACGAACAGTCGTTCAGCTCATGGTAAACGTACAGTGTATTGCAATTTTAAAATTACTGGCTTAAAAAAATTTTAAATTCGAACTTGGGTCGCATGAAACGATCCGTATGAATTGACATTCGAGTTGCCACGATATGCATTGTAACTTCTAATTTGAGAACAACTGATTACAACTTGGGTCTTAGACTGCAAAATTTTTTCCTGTTTATTCTTTACTTCCTGTGGGAACCAAGAGAATTCGTTTTTAAATCCTGTTGTAGTTTTGTAGTGTTTGCCAGTCTCAACAATTGGTGGTAGATAAATGACATGGAAGTGTGCCCGACATGTTCGACGTTGTTGATTATATATATAGATTCTATATATCCGAAAGAAATTGCTTTTATGTTTATATCTTATTTTATTGAATGTACCATTTAAAATTTACTTAGTGAATATATGAGAACTTTTTATAGAATAAAGCTAATTTCTTATTTAAATTTATGCAATAATTTCAACGAATTATTTTTTCCTATATAAAGTGAACAGTGTCCACCAGTTGTCGAATGAATTAAAACCACCGAACACTGATTTGTCGTGAGTTCTCACCTCACCAATTTGAGACTTATTCACAGTATTATTTATTTATTCAATGCGTTTGTATGCAGTAAATACGGTGTAAGAAAACATTACAATCCTGAAGGATGATTCTAGTGTATATCAAAGTCAATTTAATTTCATTAAACTAAACAGGTCACATCGAGAAACGCTAAACGATGTTTATCGATGAAGTTGTCTGGGCGAGCAGTTTGAGCAGTAATATATCGCAAATCAAAGATTGTGAATGATTTATTGTTGAAAAAAGGAAAAATTATGATAAAAAGTACAGATAAAAAAGAAGTGTAATAAAGAAATTAAACTAAAGTAAAGTAAATAAATGAACTAAACTAAAAGAAAAAGTGTAAATAAAAGAATAATAAAATTAAATCAGTTCGGGAAAACTCTTGTATAAATTGGATCGCTTGTTAAAACCATCCGCGTTTGAGAGTTTGTCCAGTCTGGACTGAGGAAACTGTGTCTGAAACATAGCGTCGGTGAGTCACTGGACACGACTAAAAATGTATATTTGAAACAGTTACAGAAAGTCGAAAATTTCGGATGGAACGAAAGGAAGAAGTTGAGTATAGTGTGAGGTTTGCGGACTGATTGCGTTAATCAGGATCGTCGCGCGGTCACGACTATCGTGTGGGAGTGGAAAAAACTCTCAGATACAGACTATTCATCTTTTAACCCGTTTATATTAAAAACAGTTTCTTACAACGTTTCCGCAAATTTTCGGCGAAGGCCAGCTCAGGGAGCAGTTAAAAGTCCACACAAGAGTTCGATGTTCAGAACGCAGTATGAAGTTCTTCCTTCGGTCACTCGATGACGGACGTTGCGATCGACTGCTCCTGGGCGTGCGGCACAGCTTCGGGAGAAAGTCCCTGGAGAAAAGGTAAATACTGGAGGGCGAAAGTTATTTCAAGGTTGACGGAAGCACCACTTTTCAGGATAAAGGAACTACGAACCAAGAACTTCACGTGCGATTTTTGTAAGTTTCTTTTGGGACCCAGACCGAACATTCTGATAGGTCGATGCCGATTCGCCCCCGCTTTCCGATTGCCGACAATTTCGAAATAATAGTTGGCGACGAGTTCGAAAGCAGTTAAACTCAGGCCATCCCGCAGGGTTACCGTTAACGCGTGCTATGTTCAGCGTTGTCAGTCAACAAATGTCGGTGTAGGTCGAAGAAAGTGGGGTTGTAGTTGCTTGAGAGTGGTGCACTGTCCGCTTGGTGGATGTGTGATTCCGGGTCAGAGGTCATCGTCCAGAGTAAGGTCACGGGTGGACGCCGATCCTTGTAGAAGTGGTCGCTGATATTTTCGTGTGGACTATGATGACCTAATTCTCAACAGAATGAATACAGTTAACAATTACTTGATTTAATATTCTCCTTAGTTTGTCGGGATCGAGGTATGTTACGAAAAAATCGTAAAGGTTATGCTCTCTTTCTCCTATTTTATCTAATCCTATTGCTAATATTAAACTTGCATACTAATAGAATAAAGGATATAGTATTAAAAAATCAAGGTAGGACGTAAAATCTTCTGTGTCGTATTAACTTCCGTTGATGTATTGTACAGTTGAGCTTTTTTGAGCATAGATTCGCGTAAATTCAATA